AGATTACCCACATATTAAACAATGTGTGTTGGTATAGTATGCTGATAAATTACCTTTCTGAATTAGAATAATTCAAGCTTTTTTACATCCTGTTGTGTTTTCTGGTTTGCTTTTTGTGTATTAACTATGTTCATGTTTGCTTTGTTTACAGCAAATTGATATGAAAAATGAAACTATTATTTTGGCCAACACACTTGATACTGAACTTAAGGACTTGCCAAAAAGAGTTCCAAAGGATGCTGCACGTTACCACTTTTTCCTCTATAAGCACACACATGAAGGAGACTATCTGGAATCCATAAGTATGAGAAAAATTTTTATATGAAATTTCATTGTCTTGTTTCAAATTCTGTAGGAATTTTAAGGCAGAGAGAAAAATGTGTCAGCATGATCAGAAATTTCAGAGTAATTTGACTGAAAAACTGTGAACTTGTGAAGAAGAGCCCTTATTTTTGGAAAGTAGTGAGCTATYCCTTTTGATTATGAACACCCATAAACGTAAAAACATACAGGTATCAGCCATTCTCTTATCCCCTGTTTGAAATAAAACACTTGCAGAAGTGAAAAAACATCAGAATGGCATTATGTTTTTCTCTTTCAGATTGCATAGCTGATTTCCAATACCTCTCTGCTATAAATTATTTTATGATACAGCTTTTGATGGAGTGTAATTATAGTCTGATTTGTGGTGTTGTTTTCTTTCCCTACAGTTTTCATCTACTCAATGCCAGGGTATACCTGTAGTATACGAGAACGAATGCTCTACTCTAGTTGCAAAAGTCCATTGTTGGAAATTGTAGAAACACAGTTGTGGATGCAGATAGTTAGAAAGGTAAGTGTGTGGGTATTTTCTCCTTCCCTCTCTTCCTTTCTTAATGAAAAACTGTAACTGTCTCTGTCATCACCTTGTCTAAACAATTGAAAGTGTTGTGTAACTTAGTTTGTCTTGAACAAGAAAAAATTGTTGATGTAGCTATAGATAAAAAGTTAAGTCATAGAAGTTTTACTCGGTTTCATAATTTCTAAGCTTTCATGTCTTGAAAAAACAAATCCTTGTGCATCAAGGAGGTGTTGGAGAGTACTCTGAAGGACTTGAAGAGAATTAATATGATTTCTTACTCAAAGTTGTATCATATTTTGGAGCACAACACATTGCTGTTGTTGAACACTAAATTCCTTTAAAGCCAAAGTTATGTAGGGATTTTCAGAATCATTTCTAGCTGCAGTCCTGGAAATTAGAACTGCTATCTTAGGAGTCCTTGATGGGGCAAAAAAAGCATTTGCAAGTAAGCCGATCTTTTCACACTGTATAGATTTTACTGTGATGCAAAAGTTGCTTTTCACCTCCTGAGCAGAGACTATGGAAGTGATCCACTTGTGACCTATGGTTACTTTCTTAAAATTTTTGCGGAAGCTTAGTGTCTGTGGAGATTATATTTACCTAAAAAATAGAGGAGCTAATACTAACCATTTTTACTGAGATGACATGAATTAAGTAGATCATTGCTATGTGGTTTTGTATGTAATTATTTTTCTGAAATTGCCTTTCTGCAACAAAATAAATGCACCCACCATGTGACTTTTGAAAATTCCTGTAGACAAATTTCTGAAGCATGTACTGGAACAGCAAAACTGGGGCTGGCAAGTCTGTCAAGTGTTACGGTTGGCAGGGCTTGAAGTGCTGAATGCTCCACAGAGCAGGGCCAAAACATTTCTCTGAATTCTAAATTCCTGAAATTTAAAACAGTGGAGTTTTGCTTGAGAACACTATTTTCTTTCTATTCAGCTTCACACATGTAGATTATGAAAACTAAAACACTCCCCTCCATTTTATTCATTAAACTTGTTTCAGCTTTTCCTTGCTAAATACTTAAATACTTGCTGAGTTGCAGTAGGCAGCTAATAATATAAGCTTATTTATTCTCTTCCATGTCTTTATCAAGAGACAATATGTGTGCATGTTGCTAATACAGTTAGTGTTTAAAGCATGTTATTGCATGTAAACAAAGCAGTGAAAAATTTAGATTCTTAAAATGTGTAAATACTTCAAGAGTAAATAAGTTCTAGTTTCACATGGAATATGTTCTCCTAGTTAACTGTGCTAAAGCACAGGACAAAAAAAAATCCTTGCTATTTGTACTGTGTAGTTGTGCTACATTTCAGGAAAATGATTAAGTCACACTTACTACTGCTAAGAATAAAGGGGATTCTCAGAAAAACTGTCCAGGATTTCTCACGGTATTAGGTGCAAGTTGGGGAACTTTTCATGCTCAACTTTGAACATCATTGCACATATGGTTTTAATATAATATTGAGTTTTAGCGAAATTTGTAAATGTTTTTGAATTTAATGAGTATGTTGTTCTTTGCTGCCAGATTGAAATAGATGATGGTGATGAGTTAACTGCTGACTTTCTTTATGAAGAAGTACATCCAAAACAACATGCTTACAAACAGAGTTTTGCTAAACCAAAAGGTCCTGCGGGGAAGAGGGGAATACGAAGGCTGATTAGAGGTCCAGCAGAGACTGAAACACCTAGTGATTAGAAACTGTCTTTGTATTTGTTATAGTGTTACAGTAAGAACTGAAATTCTGGCTCTTGTTAATGAACTGAAATCATTCCATTCATAGATGCTAGGGAAAAAAAAAAAAAGCTCTTTTTACTCTTCTCTTTTCTGACCTCAACACTTTTTATATTGTTACATGATTCTATTTGTTGACCATGTTTTATGACATATAGAAGAGATAATTATTTTAAAGCTAGAAGAGAAAAACTAAGCTAGTGCCCCTTTATTTTAATTTAGAATCCATTATTTAATAGCTGTATATGTGATCATAAACTTTGCAGACATAAGACTATGGAGCTCATGTATTCTGTGGGTAAGTCACAGCTGTGTTCTTATGTGTAGWTTATTAAACCTGTAAGACTTAACATGTGAGAAGAGATGAAGGACTACGTAGCATTGTCCCAATTAAAACTTAATTTTTCTTTGTAGCACTTAAGAACTACAAATAGTAAAATAGAAGGTTGTCTTTGGGTTTTGACAGGATGCATTGTTGGATTTTGTCGTTGTTTGGTTTTGTGGTTTTGTTGTTTTTTTTTTTTTGTAATGGAATAGATAAACTAAAATCAGTTATTTTTCAAGTAATGTAAGTATTCAGGAGTAGCTGGACATTTTCCTAGGCAAAAGCTTGGTCATCTCAAATTTGTAACTAATTTCATGGATTATCTTATGAAGAAATGTGACATAAAACCCCATAGTTTTTCCAGACTTCTGAATCACTCATAAGCCTTACATATTAGGTACTGAATGACCAAGTAAAAGGTGATTAAAAGTGCATGAGTTAGTATACTCAGTAGATTATGGAGCTGCTTTCAGAACAATATGCCTAAAGTATCTAATAAATAATTAGTTATCTGTGCACTCAGATCTAAAAAAGTGTAAGATCAGTAAAAATTGAAATAGTCTTGCTTCATAATGGTGAGTTATCCTTGAGATCCTAGTGTGTTTCCAATATCAACTGCAATTTTAACTTTCAAGGTATTCTTAAAAATCACTTTTCCTAAATGTTTGAACTTCAGTAGTAACTTACATCTGTAATTTAAATCCAGCTAGGTCTTGAATAACTGCTGGCAGCAAGCACCTGGTTAGGATTTGCGTTTTTTTTCCTCCCTGCTTCCCTTCTTCAAAATACTAAAATCAGGCAGAATAGTCTAAACTTGATTGAACTGTAAGTAATGTGTTTAACAAGAAGAGGAAAAATAGATTATTTTAATAAGTGGATTAAGGAATAATTAGATGTGGAAATTGAGTATTGGGTGACCTTAAATATTTAAAACTGTGTGATGAGGCAAATACTAGTGAATAGTTTATATTCACAGTGAGGATTTGCTTTTTAGTGTCTTCTATGTAACCTTTGCAGTTTTTGAGTTTTGCTGGTTTGGGTTTTTTTAAAGCTACATGGGAGTTGCCAGCCTTGGTTCATTGCATATTATCACAGCTGCTGGATGTACTCATTACAGAGCTGAATTGTGTGTTAAGCTGGTGGAAGATGGATTTTAACCTAGTTTTGTAGGGAATAATGTTTTGACACTAGTAGTTCCTGATAAAAATTGTGGTATCTATTATTTTGTTTGGAGATACTAGCTTGTTGCTGACATCTGAGATTGCACTATATAATGTGAAGATTGCAATAGTTGGTTTTACTGTGGTTTTTTTTATATGCAGCAGCAATTTGACACTTCAGCTTTTTTCATTTAATTTTTACACACTACATCAGTCCAATTCAATAGGTCTTGGTCCTCAACTAATCTCCTGCTTGCCCTTAGCTCCTGTGTTCTTTTCCTGCCTCTTGCCTTCTCCCTGGAGCTGGTCTTTGACCTTTTTTTTCTGTACTATGCGTCAGGCAAGTGTCATTTTTCAAATACAGTTACTGTATGTGCAGCTCATTATACACTGTAATTAAATGTATTTTTAGAKACACTTAGAATCTTTGCAACACACCTAGTTCACTTTGGAGTTTTTGTTTTGGTTTTAAGGAGTATAGCAGTCAAAAATTACTGCTAGAGGGTTGTTTGAATTCAGTATTCCTGCCCATGCGCCAGCCATAGCAAGAATGCACACTACATCTTTACACTTCCTTGAGCCAGTAAAGTTCAACTTCTTAATACTAAATGTTTTAAATATTGAACAGTTTGACCTGATATGGTTGTGTGCATGTTGGGGGGGTTTTGTTGAATGTTTGTTTTGGAGGTTTTTGTTTTGGTTTTTTTTTGGTTTTTTTTTTGTAATCCTGCCCTAGGTGGATAAGTATAGAAGATGGAAAACTTAATCTGGAGGATGATGAGAGCTGGTTAAGTGATTATGCAAGAGCGTTTATGATGAGCTGCTTTAGAGTTCAGCCCAAACCAGACATTGTAAATTATCTTATGTGAAAATATTCTATGTGGGTATACAAACCCYTGCCCAGCCAGCAGTCATGTCCTGAGCATGTCTCCCCCTCACCTTTCCCAAAATGAGAATTGTATGAAGTCTTGCACTGCTGGCTGGCTCTTCAGGCATCTTACAGCTATTCTCCTGATAGCAATAAGAAGTATCAGTTCTTTTTGTAAGACCTATCACATTTACATCTACATAGTTGCCTCTACTTCTGTTCATGAATGTTCAGAGCCAGCACAAAATGTGGGCATTAATCAGAGTTGCTCCTTTAACTGTCTCTGGTCATTAAATAATTGAAAGTGTCCAATCAAATTGTTGTTGGCCTTTGTAAAGCCCAAAAGCAATGCAGCTGCTTGTAGTTAACTCACAAGCTATTAAACAGTTAATTAATAGGACAGGTAATTATTTAATAAATGTTTATGTTGCAAGGTAGGGAGATTTTCATCTTTTAAAACACTCCTATCAAAAGTTAAATTAATCAAGGTAATAATTGCTCTGTTGCTAAGATAAACACATTGATAAAAAAAATTTTGATTTACTGTGTCTATGTATTCAATGAAAGACAACTTCAGATGCTAAAATTAAGTTTACCTTATCTATTTTGTAATTTGCTTTATAAATAAAGATTGATGCTTTAGCTTGGTGTTGTCTGAATCATTTCATAGTCTCTAACAAAGATCTATAGTCTAACATCAGAATGTGTAACAGGAAGTTCTCATGAGACTAGAAAGTAATTGCAGGGTATAAGGAGGGAGATGAGCAGAAACAGAATTCCTGGCTTATGCTACTAGAGAAAAATCACTRTGTTAGAAACAGCTACTTTCCTGTTGCCTTATGGAAGCACCACCAAGGGCGTTCTTCCCTTGAGCTTTTTGTGCTTCCAGTACTAAACCCCATCAAAAAATTCTTCTATCCTTTTAAAACACAGAAGCAGTTGACTGGTGATTAAACAGTTCTATCTTACTTGCTCAGCATGAACTACAATAAAACTGCTCAAGTTGTGTTGTTCCATTAATGACTTTTTGTCTAAACTGAAAATAATTTGCTTGAAGACCGCCTGTTGTCCTGAAATTTGAAACTGAAARGAACATTTACTGGTTTGGCTTTTCTCTTAATTGTCCTGCCAACACATTCCCATGGGGAAATACTTGTGATGAAGCAATTTCACAGTTGAAATARGAAAATTTAAAGATGTGAACAGTATTTCAGGGAATAATTTTAATGCCAAATGCTATCTACAGTCTGAGCTGTAACAGAACAGCAACAAGGTAAGAGGAGGGAATAGGCTAGGCCTCTATGTAACCATGAATATCAGGAGCAATTTAATTTGCCTTTCGGTAAATAAACTCCCAGCTGGAACACCCAAATAAAAAAATTAGGTATTTCCCATTTCAGTAATACAAACTACTGTGTCTGGTGTTTTGGCTCAAAAGTCTTAATAACTTACAGAAGATCTTCATCCTTTGCAAAGTTAGTGAGCTGCAAACTGCACAAAGCCACTGTATTCCAGTGCAGTTATCTCTAGATATATATCCTGTTCTTGCTTTTGTTCCTCAGCAGCCACCCATGGCTCATCCTGGCCCCAGGGCTGTGCAGACACCTCTGCTCTGGCTTGTAAAAGACATTCYGTTACTCCTGCTGTAGCTAAGGGGAGAACTGTTGCCCTTTTATGAAATTCTCTTAAAAAGGCAATTTTCTTTGGATCACTATGATTTGCTTTCATAATGTTACTGCTTTCTAAATCTTGGAATTGCAGTGAATCATTCTTGCTATTTTTCATTAATCCATCCTTCTCTGGGTGACTCAACTGCTTTATGTCACAGTTCTCTACATCCTTATGTGTAAAAGGTTGGCTCTTGCACTGAGGACAGTGATCTTGTTACCCTCCATAGCATCTTCCCTGCTGAGACAGGATGGAGGTGAGCCAGATTAGCCCTAGCTTTGTCCCATGTGGAGCTTTCCTCACCCAACAGGAACCGTACTCTATTTCTCTCAGCTGCAGTTTYATGAAATCGGATAATCCCATTATAAATACCTTAAATGACTCAAGTTATTGATTTATGTCCTAGAAAGCCTTATTACAGTAATTAGCACAAAAAAGAATGCATTCTAGCATCATTTAATGTTTTTGCAGGGAACAAAGGAAACTGAAGTAGCTACTCTTATCCCCTCTTAGTGTCTGTAGATACTGACTTCACCATATGAAGACTTAAATAAAAAATCTGGGGTGGGAAAGGGAAGTTTCTTCTCCTTGCCCCCTGTGTATTAAAAGAAAAATAGTTCCCACAAGTTAGCTACTTTTACCTAATTAACACCTCATAYAATTTTTTCATTCCTTGCTGGAATAATACTAAAGAAGTTCAAAACTTTTTCCTAAATTGTATTAAASAGTAGCTAACAGGCTTAATTTTCAGTGAAAAAGGGGAAACTACTGCCAAAACCTCACTGCCGAGAGCAGCACAGCAAATAATGGTCTAAATGGAACTCACATCCTTGTAGCTGAGATTCTCCGAACATTTAAGCATCACCGTTGGTGCATGAACAGAAATGTTCTACCACACTACGGGTGAACAGAACTGACCAGGGAGTCACTACAGCAAACACACTTCTGGACAACATTATGGATGTATTTCAGCTCCAGGCAATAGGAAAACAAGATGTGATCTAATAAGAAACCTTCACATAACAGTTGAAGATGCTTAAAACTGAAGAATGTTGTTAGCAGATTTTATTCTGATTTACCTTTATAGCAGCTTTTTTCTCCACAAACCCAAATTCAGAGCTGCACAGCTTTATTCCATGCAGTGAGATTAGCATAATGTTATTAACAGAAAATTATTTCTAAGGCTCAAAATTTTAATAGCAGAAAGAAGTAACAATGCAGAGTTTTCAYGTATGTTAAAGTTTTTACAATTTATACTCAATAAAGCTAGAAGCCATTGGGTAGACCCTTTTTTCTAAATTAAGCTATCAGTTTGAAAAGGCAATACAAAATCAGTTAATAGCCAGAAATTTAATGATATCAGTAAATTAGAAATCCCATGTTTTCCACAACAAGAAATATCTTCCTGAATGAAGTCACACATAATCACAGACCTTCAAATTTAACTGCAGGCCAGACTATTTTCCCATCCCTAAGCTATTAAGAAAATTCATGAGGTGCAAAATGAGTTTATATGAAAATAACTTCATTTACAATGGTTCATACTTACTGCAAGGTACCTGGAATGTTACTAGTCACTTCCATTCCATTTTTAGTCTGCTTTGATCTTTTAATGTTTCTATTTTAAAAAGCTTTCCATGTTATACTTTTAGAAGTCCAGTTCTGTATTTAGTTAATATACATACATACATATATATATAAAATAGCTTAATTATTTGACTAAGTAAAATGCAGAATTGGTCTTAACATCATTATTCTGACCCCTTTAAGAAAAGTAACCATCTGTATTTATAATCCATATGGAATCCTCTCCTAAAGTACTAAAAATACTCAATCCTCTCTTAAAATAGTCAAAGTAGCAAAGAGTTTTCCTCTGAGTAAAAATTAAATGATTTGTCATCATTGAGTTTGCTGTAAAAAGCATTTGAAGTGCAAATGCATCTGCACAGCAAGATAATTAYTTTGCTCAGGAATCCTTGAAAGGAAAAAAAACACCTAAAAATCATCTTGCAGCATTTATTTGACTACAACCAATGCCCATAAGGCTTTTTGATAATAATCGCATTCCCTAACACTACCTGGCATTCATGCTAATAGGAACTCTCAAGCTAAAATGCTAAGTRGCAGCTTGTTTTAAATGAGTAACACCATTGTCATTTCCCAAAAAGACAACTTAAGTACTATTTATAGCAATTAAATGGTTTTGTCTTCAATAGACTATGGTCTAGTACCTGATCAATTTGAAGAAAAAACATTCTGCCCTATTACAGTCATATGCCTTTGCAGCAGGCAGACTTGATATTTGTAAATTAAAAGAATCTAAAATAAATTCTAATATGGAAATGCTTTTAAAAAGCTGTGGGATAAGATGATGTACCAGCACTGCAATTTGTTAATACAGAAAGAGTGTTCTTGTGTTAAGAGCCCAGTGGCTAAGGATATGTGAAAGAGCTGCTGACAGGCCAACAGCTCACCTCACTTTGTACAGAAAAGTCTGGAAAGCAGAAAAGATGATAATATTGCACTAAATACTAATTACATATTTGGTACTGGTGTCTRTTCCATTACAGAAACATTTGTTGTCAGAAGAAACACATTATCAAGTTTTTATCTCTTGGAGGTGCTTTTGGACCTGCAAGAGAACAGACAGAAGTATAATTAACTGATACTGTAACCACACACAAGTGACACACACACACACACAAACACACAGAGTCACCCAAAAAAGCCTTTTATCTGAAAATCTACATACCATCTTTATGTCTGGCCTTCTGTTTTTTTTGTCAGTCAGACACCGATCAGCAATTGAATAAATTTTATGTATTGAAGGTACATCCCAGTCACTCATCTTTTTATCAACATAATCCTCAATAGTTGCTTCCTCATCCTCAATTTCATCTCTTATACTTAACTGCAAGAGAATTTGAACCAATGAGCAGATATCATTTTATGTATCTAAACAGCATATGAGAGTATAAATTGATTGTAATTTTTATTAATTCATTTTTATTATATATAATTAACATATATATAATTATATATATTATATAATTATATATTATATATAATTATATATTATATATATAATTAACACATTATAAAGCAAATTTCTTTAAGCTGCATCATACAGATTTAACTTTCTCCTACTTCAAGGCTCAATTGTCTAATATTGTCTTTTTTTTTTAGAGAAGAGGCACAATCAACAAAGTATCTTATGTTTACTTAGTAACACACAAATATGCAAGCTTAAATTGATATAATTCTTTCAATCACTTTTWTAAAGCCTCTTTCTGTAAATGAATGTATGACTGTAAACTAAACTTCTGTCTCCAGTCTCAGTGGCTGCTGTATCCACTGGAAATTTCTAGTCTTAATTCAAATTTTAAATTTGACTGATTTAGTCATCATACTTGAAATGGGTTATCTGTAATCACGTATACTCTTTGAGGAAGCATAAATGAATAAATAAGAGACGATGAGAAGAGGCAGTCTTCTGGCTTCCTCTATGGGTCAGTCTGAAATTGCTGAGCAACATTAAACTACCTCAAAGTTTTCTYTTCAAGCTAAGGATGCTGACCATTCTCTTTATGCTTGCAAAAGTACAATACAAAGATAAACTGTACYAGTCAAATCAGACTTCATATCCCTTATTAGATCCTGCCTCTGAAAAAGCCCACTTCAAAACGCCTGAGTTCTCCGAAGTGTTTACAAGCTCAACACGATAATTATTATGCTACTGCAGAAGATAAGAGTTTAGAAGGACAAAAAAAACTATTAATGATACACAGGTATTCCTAAAGCTGTGGAAGAAAGTGATCTGTTATTAAACAATATGGAAAAAAAATCAATCCAGACCTCAATGCTATTTCATACTTAATGAATAAATCAATCTTTATGTAAAAAGTATTCTAGGAAAACCTTGGATTAAGTAGTTCAGAACTTAATTTTAAGCAACATRAAAGGCTAAAGGCCTTGTAAGGTTTTAAATTCAAGAGAGTGAGCTCTGAGACATTAGTTTCCTAATTAGTAGACTGACTTACTGACTCAATAGTAAAGAATACAAAATTCAACCTACCTCTCCCTCTGCAAGAAAAGCCCTTACATTTCAAACTTTACTAAGGTTAAAAGCACRAAGTACTTGCAAATTGTTAGTGAAGTTGAAGAAGATGGAAATTGATACAGAACCATAAAGAAACAACTGAGGTGAACATTTCAAAATGTTTCAGAGAATGAGGAATTATCAAGGTATCTGGAAGTATGCTAATAAAGCACAATGGTATCACAATAGGCAGTTCCAAAACAAAGAATTCCAGTATCAGATAGATGATGACTTTGAAGGCTGAACAAATCTACCAACCAAAGATAACAGTTTCATCCTCCCCTCTTTAAGACAAAGACTGACATAAAAGCTGTTTCCACAACTACATATTTCGTTGACATATTTGTCTCATTTTTGAGACATATTGTCTCAAAACCTGTTAACTGACTACGATTTCATAGAAMGTGAACCTGGAGCATTGTAAGGGGAGGAGAAAGCATAAAGTACATACCAGCAACTGTGGCTCCCGGTTTTCATCTACTGGAGGAAGACCTGTTATTATTTCCAGTAAGACCTAGGAGGAAAAAAAAATCAGAAGAGAAAATGAAGCATAGAATAACCCTTGGCATATCCTTTGCAAAAAGGAACAAATGCTCCCAGGGTTGTGTTTGTCCAAAGATTTTCTATACAACTAACTGCTGTTGTTGCTCCACCCTTTATTTTAATTTTTATTATAAGTGGGGCTTACAAATTTCAATGCAAGTTATTTTCACTCTACATGGTGTTCCTTCACAGCAAGATGGAAGGATTTCCAAATCATTCAGACATAGTGTCAGGCCCACCTTCCCATGAACTAAAAGCCATGAAGGAAGTGGGCAGTGGTGATTAGGATCTTGGATCTATTCAGAATGGATTCATTATTTTTCTAAATATAAAGCTCATGTCTTTTCAGYACTCAGCTCTAAGGCAAATCCAACATGGACACTGTATTTTTGGTGTTGAATATAGTAAACAACAATAATTTTGGACCATTTCCTTGAATTTTCTTATTCAGCCTGAGTTACACTTTTGTGCAATACTATGCAAGCAGAAACAATGCTCCACACCACTTCAAACTACATTCAGCTAGAACTTGGAAAATTATTTTACTCTGGTCTTTCACACTGAAAATTAATATATTCAAATGATTTTAAAACAATCGAAGTTTAAAAACACTATCTTAAGAAAACATCTATTGGGAAAAAGAAAAATTATAGACCAGAGTAATGATTTAATGTCAGATATTCTTGATTTTGTGCACTCCTGTCATTTACAAAGAAGTCATATACTGCTTCCCACATTCTACTTACTACTCCAAAACTGAAGATATCAGATTTAGGTGTTATCTCTCCTCGCAGAGCTTCAGGTGCCATATAGGCTGCTGTTCCAACAATTCTTTCAGTCATGACTGTTTGTGTGAATGTTACAGATGCTCTTGCAAGGCCAAAGTCAGAAATTTTGGGCACATATGTATCAGTTAATAAGATATTTGCACTGGTGGAGAGGGGAGGGAGGGGAAAAACAAAAAAGAGAAGATAATTTCCAAACAGCACAGTAAATAGGTTTTATAACAGATGTGTATATAGTAACTCTTTAGTAACCAAATGCAAACTGCTATTTTGACTATCTTGAAAGCGAAGATACTTATGCATTATTCATATAACAAATGTTAGTTTTGTTGGAAGTTGCTCAATTTCAAAAYTCATTCCTCCAAATAAATGAAGAACTGACTGCAAGATCCATCCATATTTTTTCTTGTGCATGCATGCATGCACCAAAAAAAGGCAAAACAACAAAACACAAGCCAAAAAACTAGACACCTACCCCCAAACTTAACAAACACAAACATTTCTTATAAAAGACCAATTATGTTACGTTTATGGTTTGGCTTTAAGAGGGACAAAAGTGAATATTTTGCTCTGATCAACTTGTGCTAGATTACAGTATAATTYTTATAATATAAATCTCTGCTCAGAACTAACAAAAGCAGGTTTTTTATACCTATAATCTAATACTGCATCAACCACAACAAATTCATGTGCCAAATGAATAATAATACTCTTGTTCTTGTCTTGAAAGAACACTAGAAAAACTTATTCCTGCTAGAATAATGTATGTGCTGTTTTTTCACTTGACCTCCAGCTTTTACTTTCCTTAAAAGAAAGCGATCCTTATAAATGAGGYTCATCTCAAAGACTTCAACGCTTTCATAAAATACCCAGTGGGATGAATTACCGCAGAAATCTACTGGGTTTTAAGCTTGTAGCACTTAGAACCATTTTAAAATAACTTGATGTAGTATTTATGTAATTGTCATTTTCTGATCCCCTTAGTGGAACTGTAAGAAAGCCACATAGCCTGATAAAACATACTGCACTTACTAGAAACTTGTATTTCTAACCCCCGTGTCTTGTTCACTAAACTAACAAAATCGACACAGCTCTAAGTTACAAGGGATCACTTGATGTTAGAATTGCTATAAATAATTCTAGATGTATGACCACTGCAAAAGGCCAAACACTTGTCAGGCATGATCCACTAACTGGTCTCCCATTTAAACCTCAACTTCTAAAACAAAAAAAAAAAAAAAAAAAAAAAAAAAANAAAGAACAAGATCACAACTTCATAAATCTGAGCTTCTTATTCACTTAAGTCCAAAAAGTAGTAATTTTTTTTGGACTACCACAAAGAGTACAACAAAGGCAAGTTTCACATCAACTTTCAAGTTTGAAAAGAGAGATGAACTATTTCCTGGGCATAACCCCAAGCCAAAAAGCTATGAACAGCTATTAAATAATATGAACACCCATTAAATAATGCCCCCTTCTAGCCTATAGAAGCTGTTCTAGTGCCTGTGTGTTTATAGCTGGTCTCTACATGCCACAGCAAAATGAAGACGGAAGTAAATCTTCTTAGATGTCTCTTCATCTACATTTTATCTGATAGTGGCAGCACTATTAATAGCACCAATCAAATTTATTGAACTATTCACACTRAAAGTTGCAAAATGTTATCCAAATAAAAAACCCCAAAGCCCAATTCTGTAATATGATCAACTCACAGCAGTTAGAAGGGTAGAAGTAGCATAAGGTAAAAAAGTGCATCCCTTCCAGTCATTATACTTCTCCAGAGGCTTAAGCAGGGAAGAAAGAAGAAACATAAATTGTCAAAGCAGGAAGGACATACATGAGGCAGCCAAAGTAAAAGCTTGTTCCTCACAAGCTGAAAGGTCACAAAAATGAAGTTGCCTATATTTAGCAGGGTTGCCAGCAGCCAGAAAGCTATTGAAACATTCATCCATGACACCCAATTAGTCAGTTGCTCCTTCCTAACCCCCAGAAGGAGTAAGGCATTTGGAGCYTTTCTACAAAGATTTGGGTGTTTTTTAAAAAAACTAATACCATAAACTGTAGCAGGAAAKGGGAAACAAATGACAACAATAACAAAAACACCAGAAAAAAAATCAAACTACAACAAAACCCTCATCTTTTCTGAGTTCTGACATTCCACAAAAAAASCTCTAGAATAACAAACATTCATTACCATTGAAAAAGCCTGAACTTCATGAACCTGACTGAAGTAATTTCACTGTATTCATAAAAAATAGGGGTGGATCAAAGGAGACATTCTGAAGAAGTCTTCTAGGAAAAGTAAACAAAAAAGATGTGTTTTCATCTAAAAAAATTCCCTATTTAAAAATTAATTGTTCTTCGACAGCAGCTTCTTCATTAGCAGCAGTTCTGAAAGAACAGAACTTTGTGTGTTCTTGCAGAACTAAAATAACTATTTGAAAGTAACAGATTATGATAAAAATCACAATTTACATAYCACATTTATAACACAAATTACAATGCAAAATCTCATTGCTGGAAGAGCAATGCAGTCTCAGGGCTGGAAGGCTGTCTGGTTGTTCAGGAAGCTGGGAGAAAGGAGGCTCAGGGGAGACCTTATCACTTTCTACAACTGCTGCACAGGAGGCTGAAGCCAYGTAGGGGTCACTATCTTTGCCTAAGTAGCAAGTATTAGGATTAGAGGAAATGGCCTCAAGTTGTGCCATGGGAGGTTTAAATTAGGTGTTAGGAAAAATTTCTTCACCAAAAGGGTGGTAAAGCAGTAAAAGAGGCTGCCCAGGAAAGTAAGTGGTGGAGTCACCATCCCTGGAGATGTTTAAAAGATACGTAGACGTAGCACTTGGGGACATGGTTTATTGGTGGACATCGCAGTGCTGGGTTAAYGAATGGACTTGATCTTAAAGGTCTTTTCCACCCTAAGCAATTCTATGTTCTAGTCCCATAATTATCTTTAGAAGTCTGTACTGGTCATGTCCTTGTGGCACAGACAAGATTATGGTGATGGATGTCACTTGCAGAAGATTGCTCTTGACTGAAGCAATGCTTTTTACAGTTTGTTCTCTCTAAAGTGACTTTACCAGAGGCATGATGAAAAAGAAAAAAGGAAAAATAAAAAACTGAAAATGCAGACAGCAATAGTATGCAGCTTTTACCTTTTAATATCTCTGTGAATATGATTATTTTCATGCAAAAAGTTTATGCCATTTGCTGTACCTTGCACAATTTTACATCTCATATTCCAAGGAATTGGTGGAGTRTCATCCTTGATTAAGAAAAAAGGCAAGTAAAAATATGAAATCATAGATATACACACTCACATAAACCAAAACAAACACACAAAAACCCCACAATCCAAAAGTGACTTCTTGTGATGTTTTGTTGTTTTCAAGTAGATCACTAAAAATACTACTAGCAAACACTTCTTAATTGACTTGGGCAGAAATCGATGCATTTGTCACATTGTATTCTTCCCCTGCATTTTGCCTTAGATCAAGTTGCCAGTTGCAAAAAATGTTCTTAGTTAATGTTCAACTCTGACCCTACAAGGCCAGCTRCTCTGCAAAGACCTGTCTGTATGTACTGCACCTCCCACTTCGTACTGGCCCTGATACCTTCAACCCAAAGCAAATAATTCAAAGTGTCCCACAGCTTTTACTAACAATAAAAAGTCAATCTTCCAGTGTTTTTTGATTTCTCAGGAGTTTAGCTGTTTATTCATGCTACTAACTAAACCTTAGAAGTAGGGACACCTCCATTTCAAAACAACTTCTTAATCRTGTCACTGGCCAAGGAGGATTACAGTATCTCACCATTCTACCACCTGCCTCACCTGCTCAACACCCAGACATGAAGATGACACAAGCAAGGGTCCATGCATCAAACACATCCAGTGAAGTCACAAAATGAAGTTATCAGCAAGAACACGTATTCAAGTACATTACTCACCTATCTGATCTTATTAGAAAAAGATTCTGATTTATGTCATAAATTGGTCTCTACCTTGTAAAGGACTCAGTTATTTCTCCTTTAGCTTTCAATAAATCTTTTAAGCTCAGTTGATGATAATGGCCAAAGTTACATGGATAAACATTTTCATATACCTCCTTGTTAAGTACTGCTTATCTCTACAGATAAACTTGCACTGTTCTTGGGTAAGATTTAGTCTCTCTTCTGCACTGATTCAGTTAAAAAAATAAAATAATTCTCTATGTAACAGTATGTGCAATCAAATGAATCAATCTAAATTGAGACAGTAGTGCTACCAAACAGAGCTAGTCCTTTCCCCAAGCACTGGTACCCATTTTCATCATATCACCACTTCTTTCCCACTGGGGCAGAAGGATTTGCGCAGCCCCACAAAGGAAACATCTCCAAGTGAAAATTAAATATTTTCTCCAACAGATGCTTGAACCAGTACAACCAGAGGATCAGAGCAGGAAAATAAGAGCAAGCCCAACATTTTTAGGTCTGGGGCCATGGGCGGCTGAAGTGGCACCAATTTACGTTCACCAGATTATGATCTCAGAAGCTGCACTTGCTTAGTATAAAGCAGATCCTTTTACCTCCTTCATTAAACTAACATGGACACTAATTGACTATCTTAAGTCTGGCTTACTATTGGACTGTATGTCCTTGATACACAAAGTTGCCCCACTGAACCAAAGCAACTTATTATTTATTTAAGGCCAAGGCTAGAAGATACATTATTTGATTAAATCGGAAGTATTTACACAACATAATACCTTTTTAAAAATTAAATCCTCATTTACTGAGATACTTCAGAAAGAGATTAGCAGACTATGAGCATGGAATTATAACCACTACGACAAGGGCAATGAAAAAAGGCAACTTTACAATGTAGAATCTCAAAAAATGGCAGAGAACAWGCCAACATCAGAACTGGGAGCAACAGTGCAGCACCCTCTGCACTGCTTCACACAGGCATAGTCAATCCAAGCTTTTGTGACGCTTCAGGTACCAGCACATGACTTTGTATTGTTAGCCTGACTTGACTTTTATGTATCTAAAACATTTGTATAAAATCTTACTAGAAGAAAACTTGTTATATTTTCTTCTAGAACACAAGAAGAAAGTAGTGAAACATCATTTGGCCATCACAGTTCAGTTCAGTACCATTTGAAAGACATTGCCTAGATTCCTATACTTTACCAAAGTAAGGCAACTGGAAGCTAGAAAAGATTTCACTTACCAAACACGCAAGTCTGTCAAGCAATGAACCGTTGGGCATGTATTCATACACCAGACACGGCTGAGCACCATCACTTGAGAAACCAAGTAATTCTACTAAATTTTCATGCTGACACCTATAGCAAAAAAAAACAACAACAAACAAACTTGTTCATGGGCTCTGAAAGACTCTCAGCATCTGAGAAAAACGCAAGACAGAGGGAACTTGATTCCCAATTATTTGTTTCATCTCTACTGCACAAAGCTGGGTTTGTGTGATGATGCTTTAAAACAAACAAAATGTAATTGTTCTGTGTAAGAAACATTTTTACTTAACACAAAATTAAGTAAAAATGTTAGAAACACAAAAAATGTATAATGGTATACTCACTTTGCCATTATGTTTATTTCTTGCTCAAACTGATGTTTCAAGTCCTGAACACTAACATCAACCATCTACAAAAGGAAGTATTTGACATTAACATCATTGGTCAAATTAAAATGCAGAGCTGTCCATTAAAAAAAAAAGGGAAAAAGGAATTGTAAGCCTTTCTGAGTTAACTGTTTGCAATCACTTTCTATTCAGCTCAAAAATAAAACTATCAAAACATGACTTGTAATTCCTTGCAACACTGTATTACTGGACAAAGGGATCTAATTTCAGCAGTCACCAATTTAACGCCAATCACTGCAGCTACGCCCTAATAGCACTTACTCATTAAAAAAATCWTTATTAACACAAAGCAATGAAGACTCATTTTGTGACAATAACTATTTAGCTTCTGAATCTTATCCATCCTAACCTGAAATGGAAACTTCCTTAGGACCCATAATCTTCTGCCACTTCTTGAGGGTGGGGGAGAAACAATTGGGGGTGCACTCTGCTCTTCCAAACAACTTGTCTGTGCCCCACAAAGGAGAGCTACACAGAGGGCAAGAACTATCTCCTGTCACTTGGCCAACTCACAGCACTGATGGGACTAAGGATAAGGTTCTCAATTCAACGAATGTTTAACATGGTGACAACCCTTTTTGAAATGTATCAYTTAACTCTTTCCACAACAAACAAGATAAAGAAGCCTATACTATAAAGTGCACAGTCATTAAAATAAAAAATTCCCAGGACAACTCACAGCAATGAGCTTCTTGACAGCCACATTTCTGCCATTGATGTAGCCTTTGAACACAATGCCAAAGCCACCTTCTCCCAGTTTATTACCTCCAGTAGATTCTGGTCGGGCATCAAAATTATTTGTAATGCTTTCCAAGTCATGATACAAAAAATTATGGAAATCTGAAAGACATATTGACATTTAGCACAAAGCTATGGTATCACTTAAGGAACAAGGTTTTCTGCTTCAGTTCTCTTAAAACAAAAGTTTGCGACCATACAAAACCTGACACAGTGGAGCCCTAATTCCAGCTCTGTGACAAAGAAAGCAGAAAAACAAAAGGAATACATATATATATATATATATATATATATATAAAATATATATTTATATTGAGCTATGCATAAATTTCTTCACAACTAGCACTACTGTAGCAGGCAGCCGATAGTATTTTTTATTCATACTCATAATACAGATAGTAGAAATTAAACGTGCAGCAGATCAGAGAGAGAGGCACACTGCCTTAAATGTAAAATATATACCCAGATTACATCATGTTTCTGGCAGCAAGTCAAAAGTGGACCTTTAGGAAGGCCAATCACAAACGTTCCTAAAATGCCTTCTTTAATCATTTTTTTCTCCAGAATTCWTAGTAATTTCTGACATACAGAACCTAGTTTTAAAGCATAAGATGTTGAACAGTSTATAAAATAAGTACTGGAAAAGGGCAACAGGATTATGTGTGACACAAAGGAAATTATGATTTAATTAACAGTTATGTTTTCCCTCACAGTAGGTGACTTACTGGCAAGATACAAGATGCTGTTTCCCACAGACGAACCATGATAGGAATAGGGTCATCACTCTCATGCACTACTATGATTTCTTTCACATGGGGTGAAGGACAGATCAGCAAAAAAAATAGCACTGAATTCTACCAAAAGMAGTGCCTACCTCTGTTACTGGACTGTGAGCTGCTGTTTTCTTCTCTTAAGTAAGAAGGATCTGAATGCTGCTTCTCAGTACTCTGAGCTGAAACAGACTTTACAGATGCCACTTCTTTTCCCTGTACAGGTAGTTGTTTCTCATGTATAGGCAAGGTTTCCTGCGAAGAAAGAGGTAATGTAACTTCTTGTGGCATCTTTACAGCTTCTGAAAAGGAAATTTAGAGAAAGGGTTAACTACATTAGGAACCAGAAAAAAACCCAAGTACTATTAATGCCAGCATTTTTGTAAGTATCACAAGGTTATATTCTGCCACCATGTGTAAACTCCAGCACTCTTATTGAAACTTGAAACTCTTATTTAAACTGTTATTACAAGTGATAGAAAGTGGAAAATACATCCACTTTTGGTTATTCTAACCTAATCCTTTCTGATTTTCAAGTTACTGTTAAGCTCTTTAGCATCTCACAAAACTGTACAAAATGCACAGGAGTAACACTTACCTGGAAGCAAAAGGCGTGCTGGTGCTAGGAACTGATTCCTAACCAGCAGATCCACAAGATCAGCAACTGTGCAGTTTGTGGTTCCCCAGTCATAAAGCAATTCGCACGTGGGGCTCTTTCCCATTTGTACAAAAGCCTCAAATTTCCTTAAAAGATAAGTTAAGAGCAACATTAAAAAAATAGTGACCCAAAGAAGCACAAAGTCAAGAGATTAAAAGCAAATGTCAAAAAAAAATCCATACTGAAAAAAATTCTGAATGTACTGCACAAATTCACACATCTTCTGAAAATGCAGTCAAAAYCCCTAAACGCATTCAAAATCAGCAGAAAAACATGCAAAATATGGGAAAATCTAAGGGAAAACCACATATACATGGCTTCAGCAGTTTGTCCAGGATCTCAGACCAGCAGAGAAGAGAATGTCAGCCAGAGATAAAGAGTAAGTCAGACCCAGATCAAATGTAAAAATTATTGTTTTCCATCCCTTTGGCATYCACACTCCATTCTGAATATTTTGAGATAGCCATTAAGAAGAAAATCAGATTCAGTATTATGACTGATCTATTACTAATTATTGGAAAACAAAGATTTAATACTAACATTACTAGAAAAGACTGGTAACTCAACATGATACATACAGCACCTAAAATCTCCTAACCTTTGAAACAGCTTCAACAAGGATTCAACAAGTCCTTGAAGCAATGAGGTGTTCCTAAAATATTGGCAGCATTACTTCTCAAGTAATTGTTAATTTTAGGCCTCGGGCTCCCCACATTTGTTGGGATTTTCTGGGAAACAGTGAATTAGGAGTTGCAGTCCAGGTGTCTCTTGGGTACAATAAGGTCAAATACCTACTAGTCTTTAGGAAAGGAAAGCCATGCAGGCAAAACTGCTAACAGTATCTAAGTCTGAAGCTCTAATTAAACCTAATTTCCTTAATCAATTTTCCGGGGCTTGTCCGAAAACTGAGCCCTGGAGCAATTAGGAGTAATTACCTCGAGCTCCCTAAGGAAACGGCACTGTAAGATGTMAGTGCCCACCGGCACACAGAGTGAAAGTTACAGTAACGAGATGGAAAACAGGATCGACAAAGTATTTATGCTAAACAGGTAATACACGAGTTTACGTTACGGGACTAATATAGCACCTTATATGCATTTGGCTGTATCGGCTTTCACCRGACGGGTTAGTTATATCCACCGCAAGTTTCTTCCACCCTTCCTGCGGGTCGATGAACTCTGCCAGCCGCYTCATGAGCCCGTAGCTCAGGCAGCGGACATGCATGGAATCCGTCACGGGCTGGCCCATCCTCCGCTCCTGGCGGGACAGAGTTACCCGTGCGGTTCGCCGGACCGCGGCCGCCCACCGAGGCGCCACAAACGCCCCCGCCCTCACGGTTCCGACAGSCACCCCGAGGCCCGGCGGAACCGCCCCAGCGGCAGGCGCAGCTCCCGCCCACCATTCCCGGCTGCACACGCGCCCTGCACCCCGCAGCTGGCGGCGGGGGCCACCCGGCGTCTCCTCATGCCTCACCGCCGCCTCCTGGCCGCGCCGCCCGCGATCCCCCTGGCCCGCACGCCCCGCTCCCCATAAGGCGTTACCAGCGCACCGCTTCCCTTCCACCTTTAAAGCTTCCCCTTTAAGAGGGCGGGGCCCAGTCCCCAGYGGCGCTGACGCAACCGGCGCGGTGAGGACACAGCGGAAGCGCTCTCCCGCCCGGGCCCGCCATAGGCGGCCGAAAGGTGCCCGCCCCCGGCCGCCCCATGTCGGCAGCGAGGAGGGGGATCCTTCCCTMCGTCTGTTTCCCCGCGGGCCGGGGGAGTTTGGTAACGTCCTTGGGGCCCTGTTAGGGCAGGCGGGGGCGGAGGGAATGAGGCGGTTTGGCGCCCCCTGGCGGTGGCTTCCGGGGGCGCGCGGGTCCCGCCGCGCGTTCGTTCCTCCCTCCCTGCCCGTGTCCCCGTATCCATCCCTGCCTGCCTGCCTCCCTCCCTGCCTCCCTCCCTGCCTTTCAGCAGACTTTTCTGTAGTAGTTCATTCTATTCCGCCCCTCTCCCTTTTTCCTCTCCGCCCGTTGCAGGTGCACCGGCGGCTCTGGCCGGGAGCAGGCAAAGGCCGCAGCCATGCTGCCCTCCTTCAGTTACCTGACGGAGCACACCGGCTTTCGCGGCACTATCAAAAACTCTCCGAGGGACTTCGTAGTGACAGAGCTCGAGGTGCCCCAGCTCTTCCTGAGGGACACCCGGGCTGAAGTGCCCCAGAAGACCAGCGAAGCGCTGCCGGGGCAGAGCAGCCCGTGCCCGCGGCAGCCCAAAAAGCGGAGGACGGAGCCCCCAGGCCCGGGTGCCGCTGAGTGCCCCTGGGGTGCTGCGCCCGGGCCCGCGGGGTGCGGCCCAGGCCGGGCGGGAGGCGGCTGTGCTGCTTCCCCTGACAAAAGTGGGCCTGAGSGAGACTCCGAGCTGCGGTCTTCCGGCCTCCGCGAAGCCCCTGTGTTGGAGTCCTTACTCGGCAAGCCCGTGAGCGAACGGCTCAGCAAATTTGCCTGTGATCTGAAGGATGCGTGGGGCTTGGAAAACAGTGCGGATGCTGGCATTAAGGAGTTCTCGYTAGGACCTAGGCTGGACAAGAAAATTCGAGCTGATTTACACAGTGCTGTTAGGCAGAAATTCCCCTTTCTAGTCACTCTTACAAAAGACAATGAAATGATTGTAAAAGGAAATCCTGATTACAGAGAACTTTGTCGATTAGTGACTGAAAAAGAAACAAGTGATTTCTTTAAATTTTTAGATGCAAAGCTAGAAAATTCTACGTTTTCCTTTGAGCCTGATGGAAACAAAGAGCACAGAAAAATAGTTCACCACTTTATCAATAGGAAATTTGGAAAGCTTTTAGAAACAAAGTCTTTTACTGTGGCAGATGTCAATGATCAGCCAAATATGTCAATAATGGTACGGTTTCGAGAAAAAAGTTGGTCCAGAAAAAGGTCTGCTCGTTGTTTTCAGGAGAATCAAGATGTTTATACAGGTAAAGATCGCCTTTTTTTAGTGAAGGTGGCAGGTATCATTGTGTTCTGTAGAAAGACTGAAACTCCRGACCATTTTTATGTGACATGTAGGCCTGGTCATCTCATTGTTTATGTTGAAATAAATCATTATCAATGCAGTGGCATTGCATTCCTGGAGAATGAGATGAATGAAACCAACTTACTGCAGTGATTTGACTGTTCAGTGATAATGGTTACAGTTCTGTTGATTGTAGCCACAAACTAACTCTGTCATTCCCAGTGTGATAATTTTCCCTTGAAAGTAAGAGTGGGATTTTAGGAGGTGGATCCAGATACTGAACAAGTTAGTAAAGTCAATTTTGACTTACGATCTCATTCGTTAAAGCACTTCCTGATACAGAGAATGTTTCTAGCAATACATCAATGTATGTTTGTTGACTTGTGCTGCATTTTATGAAGTACTATTTTCAAAGGTATCAGGGTTTTTTGGTTGATCTGGGTTTTGTGTACTGTGTCCTGCTTTTTCTGGWTTTTTCTTTCTATGCTGTAGAAGTCTCATTTCCTTTAGTTTTATGGGTTTGGAGGACGGTTTCTCTGCAGTTTCCATGCTGTTACAGTTTGAGGGGAAGAACCTGCCCATCTGTCATGGGAGAATGCTGAAACATAAAAGCTAGTTCCTAATAATTCTGAGATGATTGTTTCAGCTTTCACCCTTCAGAAAGAAAATCTGGAAACACTAGAAGCAATCGGCTTGTTGGCAGCTGAACTTGATGTACTTCCTTCAGACTTCAGTTACACTGGCATCAAAGATAAGAAGGCTATCACTTTGCAGCCTATGGTTGTGAAGAAGGTGACTCCTGAGAGGTACTTAGAATCTGGGCTCAATCAATTTAGCACATAGTTTTCTATGTTAATAAGTATCAACATCGTGTGATCTCTTGAAATGGTCTTACTAATGTGTCTTCCCTTTGCCTGTATAGAGCACAATGGAAATGCTTTAATCTTTTGTGRCTTTAGGTACTATGCAGTTTAGCACTCAAGTTAGTGGTAAAATTCCACTGCAAACTGGACTGTAAGGCTAGTTATCCATGAGATAATTAGCAAAACTTTGCATTAGTGTTTAAATGATGATGAAAAATAGCTAAATGCGTCCACACAGCAGGAGGAAGAAATATTTTTTGCAAATAAATARTTTATAAAATTATTAAAATAATGCTGAGAATTTAAGCTCTTATGCTGAAAGTTTCCTTTTGTTTGAGTAACTRCTATTTGCACATAAGAATAAAAAGGTTGAGTGGATATTTTAAAGGGCAAATATTTGAACTGTCAGCTGTGTTTCCAATTACAGGCATGTGCGAGCACACCCTGAGAATCAGTGCACTGAGTTTGTTTTTGTTAAGGCTGACTGAGAAAGAGCAATTGTGTTTTGGAGTCTGCTACAGCACATTACCTTTTCCTTTCTCTTTAATGAGAAGCAGGTTTTGAGGAGTGAAGAGCAGTATTTCARTTAAAAAAATTTAAAACTCAGTGCAGTTACTTTGAGAAAGTTCAGTGAATTGCTTCATTCCAGCATCTGTCATTATCACTTAAGTGCCAATGATGCAAGCATTTAAAAAGTATTTTTGGATAATAACTAAATTTTAGTATTTCTATCTCTGCATTTGATTTGGTTTTCTCATAATAATTGTTTTACATCCCATTTTAATTTTTAAGCGCTAAGATGAAAAAAACTTTAATTAGAAGTTGTAAAACTTTAGTAGAGGATGGTTCATAATTTGTCCCAATTAATTGTTCAGGTTGAAAGAAATTGGAAACAAAATGGAAAAAAAAGGCATAAGAATATTCAACATCCGTTCAGCATACCAGCACCTCAGACTTGGTCAGCTGAAGGGCAATCACTTCGACATAGTTGTAAGAGATCTCCGACACCACAATCATGACTGTTCTGCAGATTTAAAGGGGAGAATATCTGAAGCAATGCGAAACGTTGAGGTAAGAAAAACTCATGGCTGCTGATAATGAACAGTTTTGTTTGCTGTTATAGGAAGTACTTTTAAGGAACATGCTTGCTATAGCACAATAATGGCAGTATTTCCCAAGTTTGGTGCTTTTCACAGACTTATGTCTTTCCTTAAAGAATCAGGAGTAGAAGTGCCTTCCAAGGAGGCACCACAAGTAAATTGATTCTATTATAGACTGGAGATCCCAGAATTTTATTATTGGAAATTTATTTTATTATTCTGTTGGTACTATAATACTTTCCTTTCTGTCCACCATCTGACTTATTTTGTTTTGCTGTTTGGAAGATGAACACCAATTCCTGTGATTATGTGTACTGCTTTATTATGTTTACTTTACTGGTCAGATGATGAATGACAAAAAAGATAAGTATTAATGCAAAATACAGGTTTTTCATCTTCTGTGAAAGCAAAATTTCATATGGGTTCCAAAGGTTATAAAATTTGAACTGAATAACCATTTGCAAAACATATGTTTTTTGTTTACTYCATGTATACTTGCTGTGTTCTAGAAAAGGGTGTTCTCCTTGGGTCAAGTGACTGACTGACAATTTTACTTCTCACTTGTGACTTAAAACTTATCAGGAGATTTTAAATCCCAGTTAGCAGAAGTGATCAATCCTGACTGATATTACAATAGTAGTAGAAATGATCTCATGTGAAAATAGTAGTGTTTTTAAGAGAAAATATCCAACAGTTATGGTTATGGTTCATCATCTTCRCTGCATTTTATAATCTGACACATTTTAAAAGCTCAATTACTTTGACTTGACCTCTAGTTGTATTTATAATAATTAACTATATAAAAATAGTTTTGTTTCATTTACCTGGGATTTTTTAATTATGTGAAGACAATGGTATAACTTGATAGTCTTTTTAGATGTTTCTAAATTAAGTGCCAAACTATTTTAATGAATCATGAGTTATGCTTTTGTTACATCCTGTTTGTATGCATTTTGGATCTAAATACACATATATGTGTGTTGTATGCCTGGTCTTWTTAATCAGACACAGTATTTTCATGCATATAATGTATTTTTTCTCTCTCATTCTAGACAAAAGGTTTTGTAAATTACTATGGACCTCAGCGATTTGGACAAGGACAAATTGTTCAGACAGATCAAATAGGATTGGCTTTACTCAATGAAAAAATGGTATTTCCATTTTTATTTTGGGTACTTACTTCAAGAGAATTTCCTATTACTGTTGCAATATCTAGCACTAGAGTTGACCTTCTCAGTGAACAATTTCATTTGTGAGATAAACCCATCTGTGTGCTGGAAGCAATWGCTAGATCAGTTTTGATAACAACATAAGCATGATGATCTTCATACTGAAACTAAAACCCTTTTTTAAACAGCAAATGAAGCTTTAAATAGTTCAGGGAGTGATAGTTCTGTCTGTAATTGGAATGTGATTGCAATTGTCATTCTGCCACTTGGCAGGAAAGTGGTTGCATTCCATATAGCGTTTGAACACAAAATGAAGCAGTTTGCATACACTGTTTATTCAGGGTCTTGATCAGAACTGTAGCCTCTTTTGCATGCTGGGGGTCTGTTTAATACTCAAAAGTGTCATGTAAGTTCATAAGAAAGCATTTGTTTTTTCAATACTGTGATAACTTATCTGCTCTATAGAAGAGATTGCTGCTTTCCATTATTCCTTGACTACTTTCCCAAACTCTCAATTCTGAGCTCATTAGGTAATAATTCATAAGAGTAATGTATTTTTCAGTGTATGTGGTATAGTATTTGACACAGGTGAAAAGACTAGTCAGACACTATCAAGTCAAAAGAATACCTAAATATCCTTTTCTTCTAATCCTTTTTAGACTCTGAGAAAAGTCAGGAAAACTTACCTTTCAAATATAAGAATAAAAATTTGAGGGCAACCCATAAAAGTTACTGTTGACGTATTTGACATCAGATAGCAGTTGGATCAGGTGCAGTCCCTGAGGAGTAATGGTTTACATCTCTAGTCTTAACTTAGTTACTTTAATTTAAAGTAGGTAAGAACTACTATTTATATTAAAAATGTGCCAGTATGTGCTTTTACAGTCCAATACAGGAGGGGACAAGAGTCAGATGTCACAGGTTGATAGAAGTGCTAGCAAATTGAGTGGCTCCTCTGACCTTGCAAGTAGCACAGAGTGCTTTCCTTGTTTCAATGTCTTCTAACCTAATACAGATCAATATTAAAAAAAAAATAAAAAGGTTGTCCCTCTATATGAGACTGTGGAGACTGTGGAAAGTGTTCAGTCTAAATATAGCATGAAGCATGCAGGATGGAAAGAAGRAGCCTTCCTGTTCAGGATAGAATGATGACAATTTCAAGTGGAGAARTTTGAACTGGATGACCAAGAAGAGTGACTGGTTTCTCATACAGCTTTGAAAACTTACATTTTCCTTTTTTAATCTGAGAAGGAATACAACACATTGTTTAGCTATTCATGGAATCTTCTGTGAAAGGGAGAATTTGACTTTGACCTTAAAGAACTGATACAATTTTGAGAGCTTGCAGAATATGTTAAGGCAGAATTGGATGCATAATTGTCTCTTTAGTTGACAAATAGTTATATTTAACTGCAAAAAAAAAMCAACCCAAATTTACTAATATTGTTCTTTGAAGGTGAGAGCTGTGAAGTTGTTCTTCACACCCGAAGATACTGATGATGCTGTAAACAATGCAAAGAGATACTTTCTTCAAACTGGTGTGTCTACTTAAATTGTYTGTATATTTATGCAGAGTCGATATTGTGGGGGAGTAAGGTGCTGCTGCACAGGGAGATACTTTTTATTTTTCCTACTGCTTTATCATACTTACACTTCATTTTGTGAAACTCAATGGAGTTGCACATTTAAAAATTATATGAGGCCCTAAATGTGCAAAATAGTGGAAAGTGAAGRTACTTTAGGTGTAAGACAGTATAGAAGCAAGTGCTATATATCATAGTGCTAGAAAAGACTATCGGAGGAGATTTGACCTCCTTCCATCTGTCTGCTTTTGTAGAATAAATTTTTTYTCCCTAACAAGCAAAGTATACAGGAATGTGGCATCTGATTCATACTGAGCACTTAACACATCTACTTTATTTCTTTCTTGGTTTAAAATCAACCAAATATGTCAAAGGCAGGAGTRTGCTGAGCAAAGTGCTCTGTTTGCCATATTTATTGCTTTTATCATTCAACTGAACTTTCTCCAATTTGGAGTTGTTCTCCACTTCAAATATATTTTTCTTTTCAAATAGTCCACATCTGTTAGCCTGTTTATCACTGTAGATTGACAGGACAACTATGAGATATAGCTTCAAAAGACAAAGATATGTTTGGTTTCACAAGAAAATATATAAGATGAATGATTCTGTTCTGTACATTGCTGTATGATGCATGGAAAGACATTGATGTGGACTCTGAAAGCAGCTGCTTGCCTTTTCCCAAAACCGAAAGGCTTTGTCAGTTAATCACGTGTAATATGAAAAAAAAAGCAAACCATAAAATTCTAAATATTCAGCATTTATATAATGTAATACAAATCAGAATAAATGTATTTTCATCTTGGTTARTGGTCAGACTTCCCTGAGGCTAATGTAATTTTTACTGTCAAAATAAAGACATGTTTTTGACCTTCTGTGAAGTACCTCTTCTCAAATGATGGGAAGTAGAGATTTAATGTTCTTTTATAGATCAGTTTTTACTTTTAGTTACCTGACTTTAARAACAACTCTTGGGAACAATAAAGGAAGTTTCTAAAAAAAAATTGTTCAAACTAGGCTGAATAACTGAATGACAGCTAGTTCAATTTATACTGCATGAAACAGAATAAAATTAATGGGTGTGTGTTGATAGGCATAAAAGATGAAATTTCTCTAATATGACACGTTGAAAGAAAGGAAACAATAAAAGCATTGAGAGGTTAGATTGACACTTTTTTTCCCTATTTGATTGTTTCATCTTCTTAACTGTCAAGTAGTATTTGAACAATCAGSGATTACTGACATAGTTATTTTTGTTTATATCAGAAGATGCGAAGGGCACACTTGGGATGCTGCCAGAATTTAAAGTAAGAGAGAAGATGTTGCTACGAGCYTTAAATCGCTATGGTGTAAATCACGAAGGTTGTACCAAAGGGTGGCTCAACATTCCCCATTCCTTGCGCATATTCTATGTCCACGCTTATTGCAGTAAAATTTGGAATGAAGCAGCATCATACAGGCTGAAGACTTATGGCTCAAAAGTGGTTGAGGGTGATCTTGTCTTTTTGGAAGAAAATTATGAAAGCATTTCAATGAATGACAAGGTGAGTCTTCCCAAAGTAGTTATTGTGAAAGCAAAAACAATAACAAAACCCCCAAATCAGATCAGATAAATCAAAAAACTGCAGTATTTTACTGGAGAATAAACAGGTATGTGCAGAGGCAGAATGTAATTAATTTCTTCTGGGTGAATGTCTTACAAATTTGGAACATTACCTCCAGAYCTGATGGAGTGGCTTCTGTTTCTATTGAGATTTTTCTTTACCAACGTTTTTGAGAGTGAATGTTAATGAAACAATTAGATGAAATAAAAWTAAAATAAGAGGTATCAAATGCAGTATGACTGTTTTGTGTAGATATATTCCTATTAATATAAAACATTTTTCTTTGTATTTTTGCTTTTGATGGTGCAGCACAAGATGGCATTGACTTCAGACTCAGAGAGTATTAGTTGTAAACGTTTAATGCAATGTCATCTACCAGTAAACTGATGATATTAAGCATATTTTAAGATTTTTTCATGCCTGAGTTTATTGCCCTTGCTGTAGTCAAATAGCTTTAGAATTCTTTGTAAGTTTGTAAGTATACTGCATAATCCTAAAACAAAACATACGTTTTTACTTTTTAAAAGTTTTTTTTTTCTTCCTAAATGTCTTTTCAGGTTCATGTAGTCACTGCTTCAGAAGAATCAGCTAACAAATATTCTATATACCAAGTAAGTCTGTATGAAAAATCCTGAATTGTTGATAGCTTTATTTGATTAAAACGCTTTGTTTTGAATAAGGTGATTAATTTAACYGGTGCAGTCTTCTTCCCTGCCAGAATGCACACTGAATAAAACACATATGAACTCATCTCCACTCTCATAACAAACTTACTTCTTAGTGGAAGTAAGCACAGTGTCATTTGCAGTATGGCAGTTTTTATCATGAAGCTGAATGCTTCAGAAAAATTTCATTCTACTGGGAAAAACATTCAAAAGCAGTTGATGTTCTAATTGTTGAAGGTTTCAGAATGCAGTTGTGAAGTCTTGCATGACAACTGAATATATGGCAATTGAATGACTTTATTGCTTTATCTTTCCCAAGAAGCAATAAAATTCATATTAGTATATTTCTAATTTGTTTTAGGAATCCTGATGCATTGCTGATTTTTTTTGCTTTAAATATGATCGAGATACCTGCCATGCACGGCTTCATTTCACAAGAGAARCTGCTGGTTACTCTTTCAGGCCCCAAAACACAGGGTTTAAATGTACTTAAAATATCACATTTATTTAAAGAGTAATGGGTGAGCATTACCTCAAATATGTTTGTTTTGTTTTTTCTTTGAAGGTGGTTCTTCCAATGGTGGGACATAGTATCAAGTATCCCAGTAATAAAGTTGGACAATGGTACCGTGAAAGACTCTCTAAAGATGAGCTGGACTTGTGCAAATTCAGGGTGTCTCCATTACAACTGAATATACCTGGATGCTACAGACTTATTTTGAAAAATGTTCAGAATCTCTCATATTTTTTGGAGGGTTTTGAAGAAGGGATCAAAATTGAGGACAACCTTCTGAATGATTTAAAATTATCTCTTCATGTGTCATTTGACCTTGATTCTTCATGTTATGCAACAGTCTGTCTGAGAGAAATAATGAAATGTGACTTTTAAGATTCCACTTAATGAAAAATTGCAGTAGTATTGTACAATGTGATATTTCACATGTACTGCCAAGAACAGAGGAGAGAATAACAGGTTCAAGCCATGAACAGGAAAAATCTGTAGATTGAGATTACAGATTAGGTAAAAAAAGCTCAACAAAATCCTTTAGAATGTTCCGAAAACATTCCAAACTCTATATACAAATCCTTGAATGCACTGGAGTAAAAGTCCGTTACACCAGGCAGGTCTAACAGAACTTAAAGAAACCATGGGCTGCAAGATTGAATCTCCTGTTTGCATAGACATCTGGCTGACAAAGTTAAGTCTTGGAAGAATATTTCAGCAAACAAATGTATCTTGTAATGCATAGTAATTTTTTAAAATGTTTTATATAAAACATTTATACTATTTTCTTCTTTATTAAAAAAATAAAGTAGTTAACTGTGGTAAAATGAGTGGATTTGTGGAAAAGGGGAGAACAAAACAACAATCCTGTACTTTGGCTGTTTTCCACCGTACAACAATATTTGTGAAACCAAGTTAGAACATGTGGTTTTTATGGGTGGACAGCTATGATGGGTACTCAACCAGATGGGTAAAAACCTGATTGGGTGACGAGGCTGAGAGAATAGTGGTWAATGGGTCACACCTCGCTGGAGTGAGTGTTACTGGAGTATCTCTGGGCTCCATCCTGCTTCATGTTTTTGGCCTGGAGGAGGGAATGCAATTCACCTTCATTCACACGGCAGAGTCAAATAAAGGGAACAAATGGATATTCTGGAGGGTCAGGCTCTTGTTCAGGACAGCCTATACATGCTGAAGGAAGAGGCCAATAAGAGCTGTATGACACTTAACAAGGACAAATGTGAAATGGTACCTGTGGGAAGGAAGTGCCCGTGCAGAAGTCCAGCCTGTGGAACAGCTCTGCCAGAGTGGCCCCAGGGACCTGGTGGACAGCTGAACATGGGCCCTGTTCAGCCCTGTTCTTTGGCAGCAAGAATGACCAACAGCCTCCTGGAATGAGTGAGCAGGGACACAACCAATAGATCATGGGAACGTATTGCCTCTCAATTTTCAGCACTTATTGGACCACATTTAGCTTACACATTCAGTTTTGGTTCCCAGCACAAGAAGAACATTTAAAAACTGGACAAAGTTCAGCAAGAGGCCTCCRAGCTATTAAGACACTGCAGCCCGTCCCATTTGAGGAGATGCTGAAGGAACTGAGCATCTTTAACTTTTAGAAGACATAGTTTGGGGAGCAATCAACAGCAGCTCACCAGTACCTATGGGAAGGTTAGCAAGAAGATGATGCCAGGCRGGATCTTCATAGTGTTACGTGGCAGTAGAACAAGAGGAATTGAGCATAAATTGAAATTAGAGAKTCAGAATGGTTAAAAGGGAAGACTTTATTGTTGTGAGARCAGCCAGGCAATAGAACAGGTTGCCCAGAGGCTGTGCAATTTCCATCTGAGGAGGTTTGTAAGACCAGATGGGATAAAGCATCTTTTTGTTGTCTCATGCTCTTCCAGTGAGGAGGTACACAAAGGAAGCTGGGAGAGAGCATAACTGGGACAGGTGACCACAACTGATCAAAGGGATATTCCACACCACAGAACATCATGCCCAGTATATAAACCAGAGGGAAGTTACCTGGAAGAGGAGCTGATCTGGGTTCAGGAACAGAGGTCTGGCATTGAACAGAGGGTGGTGAGCAATTGCAATGAGCAGCACATACTTTTCCCCTTTTTATTATCATTGTTATCACTGTTTCGTGGAGGCAGTTGAGAACTAGAGGCCACAGACCTCTTCCGACCTGGATTGCTTGTTATCTTAAGCAGAGTATTGCAAGTGCTTATTCAATCTGTAGATGGCAGCATGACTTAAAGTGGAAGGGTCTACTCATTTTGAGCAAGAAGTGGTAACACAAATTGGTTTCTGTTTATGGCATCAGTTTTGCAGATGTTGCTAATAGCTGAGTATAATAAATTTCTCAAGTTTGAGAATTATAGGAATAGGAAAAATAGAAATATAACTCACATAATTTCAATGCTTTTATAAAACTGTGTAGCAATGAAGGATCCAGATAATTCTATACCTTAAAAAGAGGATTACTCTAATTCAGTAATTCAGAATTTGATCCTTAGTTTTTATATGAGAAAAGAGACCATATTGTCATACAAAAAATAGTTACAGAGTCCTGCAGGTGTTTTACAATGCTTAGTCTATCACAGTCCTTACTCCACACCTCAAGTTTATGGTATACATGCAGACTGATGGAAAAATCAATTTCTCTGCCATAACCCACCTAAGACAGCTTTGTTTCTGTCTTATTCATGCCCATTCCTGCTTTTGGAAAATTACTTTTAACKCAAGTAATTTTATAACATCACAGTTCAAAAAGCTTTGTCCTGTCAGCAGGAGCATGATAAAGTGTTCCAGTGCAGACAGGAAGCTGCATGCAGTTACAATGACCAGAAGAAATAAAGTAGCACAGAAGTTCTGTTTAAAAAGACTATTGTGATCATAGTCCATGTGGATGAAAAGAGCCTGWAAACCACCTCATCACATACATGATTTGAATACAGAAGGTATTCAAAGTTGAGCATTGATTTGGAAAAACACAAAAGGTCAGACTAAAAGGTTTTTGACTGAAAGGCGTGCTTTTTCAAAATAAAAGATCAGAAGATGGTGTTAAAAAGAGTTCCCCTRTAATCATTTTAGGCTCATTTGTCAGTACTTCTGTTGAACACTAAAAGAACTAATCTTCTTAAGCAAATCATTCTTTCAGCAACTCTAAGGTGAAAGAGCTAATTATGTGTGCCCATAGGTTAAATTCCTGTAGTAGAAATGTTCTACCAGGGAAAAGTCAGGTTAGCTGTTAGAGTGTTTATATTATAAACATCCTTCTGATTTTATTGGGCATTTATCTGTAATTCATTCTCTTAATCCTAGCAGGATTGTGTACATGAACAGCTGAATTCAGAGAGTTTTGTGTGAGTGCAATACTCAGCTTCCTAAGTATAATCTATACAAACAAAACATCTGTGCCTCTGCGTTTAGAAAAGAAGATTATCATTGTGCACTGGTCTGAATTTAAGAAAAAGATTCATGTGTTAGTCATGCACATGCATTTGCTAAGCACTTCTATTGCTACCATCCTTTTCTGATAATCTTTAAAGCACTTTGCTAATACTAATGGAGACAGGTTCCTGATTCCTTTCCTAACAAAAGGGGTTTTAAGTTCATTGACCAGTTGATTTTTTTTCAGCACAGATGATAGATAATTGGGCATTTGAATGGGAGAAATGCAAATGTTCTTAATCTGTGAAATCCTGTTACTTGTAATTCCCTACAAATTTGACAGCTACTGATACATCAATGAGAACGCACTAATTTTCAGATCTTGCAGAATGAAATGGCTTAAAATTACATTCCTATCAAAAGGCAGTTCAGAAGCCAGGTAGGTGTTTGATTATTGGTCAGCCCACTCATTAAAACTTCATTAACTCCTGTCTTAGTGCCAGTTCCTATCTGCTGGTGATTCGACCTCCTACACRCTGCTGATGAGCGCAAATCTCCTTTCCTTTGTCTTGCAGAACTTCTGCCCATAATAGGTACTAAAAGGAACGAGCTGAGAAACTATTAACACTTTCTTTTCTTTCAGTCTTGTGGTCATACCTTGCAGCACATTGGTTCAGATCTTGATTCCTTCTGGAGGAAATAAAACCAGAAGGTGAGGTCCAGCTCTAGGCCRAGTATATTAACGTCCAAATGGAAAAACAGGGATCCAAATGAGACATTGGTCAAATTCTCAAATCCTACACATGGGTATGCTCTGTTGAGGAGCCTGGACAACATTTAGTCCAGAGTAAAACCACTGAACCAAATATCATGTAAGTACAGTGGTATCAATGTTCCAACACATTCATCTGTTTCTGTCACACCAGAAAGCTTGCTCATGCAGACATTGTCTGGGAATGTTGTGCCTGCAAGGAAGGCAGAATCAATGAAGTCAGATGTTCGCACCMTCTGAAGGTACTTTATTCTGCTTGGCAGAAGTCAGTCTTTGATATTACAGCAGTTTAAATTGTCAGCTTATGCAAAAGTTCTTCTTTCTGCTTAGAGCAGTAAGGTTAGTTTTAAAAATGACTGATTAAAAAAATTGATTCTGTCCTCCAGAATGTTCCTGCACTYAAAAAAACACGGCTCCCTCTGCTACTTCCAGCAAAAGGCACTTGTTCTTTTACCTTTACCTCTCTACTGAATTTCATGATATCTATGTTGAGCTCATAAAGTCTCAGAACTCTGCATAAAGAGAACTCTAATTAAATACATGGCCAAACCATTCACTTGTGAAAGCACAGCACRAATAATTTAGTGATTTTGTATTGATGTTATATACAAACAATCACATAGAATTAATTAAATTTGGATTTAGTGCTCTGCAACAGGAGTGTTTTGGGTCAAGGCTCAGTCTTGTACCTCAGCCTGTCTCCAGTATTCCTTTAAGTGGACATGTAGAAAAGGGGAAAACTTAGGAAGAATGTATGATATTTATACTCTAACTATATTCAGTTCAGGTGATTTCCTGATCCTGGATGCTGTTATTTGATAACTCTCAATGCATTTCTTTCCCAAGTGTTTCTCATCTTCCCTTGAGTATATTCAACCTCTCCCCAGACTTACATGTTTACTACCTATTGCATTAAGATCCACTGTTTTTTAACCTGCTTTCTTCTGACTTCATTTGATCATCCTCAGCTCTAACATTTCAGTTCAAGGGATAGAAAGGAGTTCATGCCTATCCATCCCCTTGGTATCCAGCAATATGTATATGGATATATATGGGTATGCTTCCCAAACGTATCTCCTAAATGAGGTGCTTAGCACAAATGTGCAACTATGCAATCTCTGCTCCTGGAGGCTGTTCCATACTTACAATGTTTGCTGTCCTTCTGTTAGATTTTACTGGTTTTTAATGTCCCCTTTTGGAGATGAAGGATCTAGAACTGCACATAGTTGAGGATGTATTTGATTTAATCCTACTTTTGACTCTAAAGATCTGATAAAACTTGCCAAAACATGTGATGTTGCTCATTGGAGAAATGCGCACACCTTTCATCCTCCCTCAACACAAATTAAAATGAATCCCAACCTGTTGGTGCATACATCAGATGCTGCAATAATCCAGGCACTTTTGGTCAAGTCATCTAGCRTCTTCCCTGGAATACATAACTCAGATGACTGCTATCCCACAAAAGTGGCTAAAAAAGCATGATTTTTTTCCTACAGGAAAGGAGTTTCAGGAAGGAGACATGGATTTCTTCTCCTAGGAATCAGAATGTACTTCAGATTCAGCACTGARTATCTCTGGGTTCTGAGGGAACTGGCCATCCTGATTAGTTCTCACACTCCTTGTGCCAGATTCCCCCTSTCCTGCCCATGGTGCTCCCCAAGGAACTG